GCAGGAGAATCACTTGAACCTGGGAGGCAGAGGTTGCAGTGAGCTGAGATTGTGCTACTGCACTCCAGCCTGGGCAACAAGGTGAGGCTCCATCTCAAAAAAAAGAAAACAGGCAAAATACATCATAGGCCAAGGGAAAATAATACCAGACAGAAACATCAGAAAGGGCAAAAATGATACAAACACGTAAACACACAAAATTTATTTAAAAGAACAGAGTAGAAATATTTAAAATCATAATTATACTATAGCGTTGACAGCATATATAGAAGTAAAATATATCTGAAAACAAAAGAGAAAGAGGGAGATAATTGGAAGAATACTGTTGTAACTTTCTTAAGCTGTGAAGTAATAAGATGTATTTTGAAAGTAAAGTGTGATAAAGATGGATATTGTAATCACTAGAACAATCACTAAAAAACACAAAAAGCGTACAGCCAAAAATTCAACAGAGGAAATACAATGAAATACTAAAAATACTTGATGCACCAAAAAAGATGATAGGAAGAACAGAGGGACAAAGAGCAGACAGGACAAATATGAAAGGAATGAAGGAAAGAAGTAAGGAGGAAGGAAGGAAGGAAGAAAAGAGAGAAAGAAAGAACACATTTAAATCCAAGCATTGTTAATAACTGCATTAAATGTAAATAAACTAAATACTTCCCAAAAAAAGACAGAGACTGACAGATTGGAATGTTTCTTAAGTCTCAATTATGAGCTATACACAAGAACATATACTTCAAATATAATATACAGACAGGTTAAAAGCACTTTATCTTTAAATAAACAAATAACTACAAAATTTCCCACAAAGAAACCTCTGGCCAAGTCTGGTAGCTCACTCCTGTAATCTCAGCACATTAGGAGGTCGAAGCAGGTGGATTACCTGAGGTCAGGAGTTCAACACCAGCCTAGTCAAAATGGTGAAATCCTGTCTTTACTAAAAGTACAAAAAATTAGTTGGGCATGGTGGTAAGCACATGTAATCCCAGCTACTTGGGAGTCTAAGGCAGGAGAATTGCTTGAATCCGGTAGGTGAAGGTTGCAGTGAGCCAAGACTGTGCCATTGCACTCCAGTCTGGGCAATAAGAGGAAGACTGTCTCAAGAAAAAAAAAAAGAAACCCCCAAGCCCAGATGACTTCCCTAGTAAATTCTATTAATCATTTAACTAAGAAAAAAAATAGCAGTCTTATACAAACTCTTTCAGAAAAGAAAGAAAACGAAATCACAACTCATTTTATGGGGCTAACATAACTATGGTAATAAATTTAGACATAAACATTACGAGAAAATAAAATTACAAATATACAGCATGAACTTAAACATAAAAATCCTTAACAAAATAATAGCAACTAGAATCCCTGAATATTTAAATATAATAATGCTTCATAACAAGTGAAGTTTGTTTATCCTTGGAATGAGAAGTAGGCTTAAGAAAAATCTATGTAATTCACCACATTAACAAATTAAATTAGGAAAATCGATAAATGTAAAATTCAATAAATGCAAAAAAAAGGATCTAACAATTTTAAATACCTATTTATTATAAAAACTCTTAGCAAAGTATTAATTAAAATAATTTCCCCAAGCTGATAAAAGGCATTTTTAAAAAAATACAACTAACAATATACTTACTGGTAAAATATTGAAGGTTTTGCTCCTAAAATCAGGAACAAGGCAAGGATATCTGCTCTTAACACTTCAACTGAACATTTTAATAGAAGCAACCAGCTAGTGCATTAAGGCAAGAAAAGGAAATAAAAGACATACAGATTGATAAGACAGAATTAAAGCTCTCATTATTTGCAAATGACATAATTGTACTGGTAGAAAATTCTAAGGAATCGACAAAAATAGCTATAAAATTAAAAGGCAAATTTACCTAGATTGTAGGATACAAGACCAGTATATAAAAATAAGCTATAATTTTATATACTATCAATCAACAACTGAAAAATGAAATTTTTTTCAAAATACCATTTACAATGGAACCAAAAACAAATAACTGGAAATAAATTCAAAAAAAGATATGTAAGACCTCTACACTGAAAATTATAAAATATTGATGACACAAATGAAAGATGGCTTAAGTAAGGAGAAGGATACATGTTCATGGATTCAAAGACTCAATATTATTAAGATGCCCATTCTACCAGAGTGGATATATATTAATACAATCTCAGTTTAAAACTCAAGCAAGATTTTTTTGGTAGACATTTACAAGCTGATTCTAAAATTCCGTGCAAATATAATCAAAGTAGGATAATTAAAATAAACTGGAAAAGAAGGATAATATTAGAGTATTAACTTTACAATGACTTTGAGACTGACTATAAATCTATAGTAATCAAGATGGAGGTATTAGTAAAAGGATAAACAAATATATAAAACAGGATAGAGTCCAGTAATAGACTCAATATTGCCAAGCCAGTCCAATGGAGAAAAAAGTTTTCAACAAGCGATGCTGGAACAACTGAATACCCATACTGAGGAAAAATAAAAACACGACTTCAGATCTCATGCTATACACAGAAATCATAAGTCCAAAGGCAAAAGCAAATGACCACTTCTAGAAGAAAATATCGAAGAACATTCTCCTAACTTTAGCGAAGACGGAAAGCATTAAGCATAAAACACACATTTGATATATTTTGTCAAAACAAAAAACTCTGTGCATCAAAAGACACCATTAAGAAAATGACTTGGTAAATCATAGACTAGGAGAAAATATTCACAACATATATACAGAATCAATTTTATATATATATAATATATATATATTTTTTTTAAATATACTCCATGAAAGAAAATTACACAAATGTCCAATTATCACATTAAAAACGGCTCAACATCATTAGTCATCAGAGAAATTTTAAAAAAGCAACAACCCCACAATGGGGTATTACTACAGACACTGTAGAGTAGTCCAGTGATTCTCATGAAAGGTGGCAATTTTGACACCCAGGAGACATTTTTCGTTGTTACTGGCATCTAGGATCCTGCCACACATCTTACAAAGCACAGGACAGCCCAAATAACAAAGAATTATCCTGCCCAAAATGTCAGTGGTGGCTAAACAGTGAAAACTCCAATAGCCAAAATGAAAGAGACTAATAGCATCAAATACATGGCAAAGATGTAGAGCAACCAGAACTCTCTGATACATTGTTAGTGCATATGTAAATTGGTTTATCCACTTTTGTGTTTGACAGATGCTACACATTATGTGCAGACTGTTTCCCACTGGCCAATTAAAGGCCAACATGGCCTACAAGAGCCTGCATGATCCAGATCCAGTCTACTTTTCCAGCCTCATCTCCCAATTAACTGAAGTACAAAAATGATTTAATACTAGGATATTTTTCAGTAAAGTTGATTTTGCTGACAGAAATTTTAAAAATTCTGAGGAAAAAGGTACCTTAAGGTCATTTAGTTCAACATACTACCTAAAACAAGAATATTAGTACATTCCTGATGATGAAGCAGCTAATGTCTCTAACAATGAACATTAACAGTTTTGGCAAAACATCATTGATGTAATTGGTATAAACTAAAAAGGCTACAAATTCTATATAAATAATGATTCTTTACTCTTTTTTTTTTTTTTTTTTTTTGAGTTTCGCTCTTGTTACCCAGGCTGGAGTGCAATGGCGCGATCTCGGCTCACCGCAACCTCCGCCTCCTGGGTTNTAGCTGGGATTACAGGCACGTGCTAACATGCCCAGCTAATTTTTTGTATTTTTAGTAGAGACGGGGTTTCACCATGTTGACCAGGATGGTCTCGATCTCTTGACCTCGTGATCCACCCGCCTCGGCCTTCCAAGGTGCTGGGATTACAGGCTTGAGCCACCGCGCCCGGCCTCTTTACTCTTTTTATAAACTGAGTAAACTGGACTTCAGTATAGAATTACAGACATTGGCTTAAGAAGCATCACAATATAGACTGAAAAAATGAAAATAAAAGTTCAGAAAGATATTATATATTTACAAATACTACAATTCATTTCAAAAAACCGAGTCAACTGATAATTAGTGTATAAATGGCCTAAATCAGCATTACCCAACAGAAATATAATGTAAGCTATAAATGCAGGCTACATATACAATGTTAAAAAAGTAAAATGCAAGAGAAACAAACTGTAATATGTGCAAATACATGCATGCATATTATGTACATAAAACACACACACACACAAAACCCACAAAATAGCCAGTAATTCCAAATATTATCATTTCAACATATAATCCACATAAAAACTGTTCAATTATTAACTACAACGAATTATCAGACAGGGACTTTAACTGTGATAAGTTTATTAAAAGATATAGTAGAAACAGTGGACAGTACTGTATGTGTAAAAAGATGGGAAAGAGATGGAAACTTTAACAAAAGAGCCAGTAGAAATGCTAGATATGAAAATTAGATAAGAGATCAAGAATTCTTTTAATAAGTTTATCAGCAGATGGACACAGTAGAGGAAAAATAAAACCAGTGAACTTTAACCAACATAAGCATTAAAAACTATTAGATTGTTTTAACTCTTTTTTAAATGCTGTCTTTAAAATTTAATGTATATTTTACCCTTATGGTCCATCTCAAGTCACAGTAGCTACATTTCAGGTGCTCAACAGCCACGTGTGGCTAGTGGCTACTGTTGTTTATTATGTAACAACACTTCTAAATATTTTACATGGATTATTTCATTAATCCTTCCTGGGTACATACAAGAAAATTAACTTGTCCACATTCTCACAGCTGGAGATGGACTCAGGATTCTAACTCAAGCAGCCTGGCTCAGATCTCCTGCTCCTAACCATCATGCTTTCCTACCTCAAATCAAGTTTTTCTGCAATATTACTGAAACATTCAATTAAATCAAATTAATACCTGGATTCCTGCCACAAGTATCCCACATTTTTTTGAAACCTAAATTTGTGGGTTTCATATAAAAATTGATTTTTCCCCCTCATGATTTAAAATCCGAAAGAAAAGACTTACCATTAATACGAGTTTTTGATACTTTTGTTTTAGGTCTGACACATTTGCAGATGGGTCTGCCCCGAGGATGCTGTACCAATCCTTTATGGGCATCTGCTCAACCGCCATCACTCATGGAACCAGAAGTGGGCCTTCTCAGATCAGCTGAATTGAAATATTAAAGACAATTCATTACAGTCTGCCATGTATCTAAGAAAAAATTAAGTAGTGCTTTTGTAAGTTCTTTAATATTCATTTGAGTAAATCATGATTATAATGCAAACCTGAGGAAACATATATTTTCGTGTAAAACGCCCCAATAATTCCATGTATAAGTGTACCGACAAGTATAAAAAACGTTTTAGGTATTTCACGATTTATACATTAATTAATGAATATACAACAGCATTAAAAAAAAGAATTTGATAATGAACCAGATAGTGTATCAACCTTCAAGGTATTTCCGCTAGTCTTATGGTAAATCTGGTACACAAGTAAGCACTCACTAAACACGCTGAAGGAGCTTAATGAATATTTACAAAATGAAGGAATAAAAAAATAAAACAAAACACCAAAGAATTAAAATGAATTTGGGGGTATTCCTTCTGAATGTTTCTCGTTTGCTTTTCCTCCAGATTGCCTGGAGAGCATGATATGCGAAATAACGTCAGCACCGGCCGGCAGAGAATGAGAGACCCCTGCTAATGGAGAGGCGCTGAGAATTCACGAAGAGAGAGTATTTAAAACTCCACGCGAGGATGCCCCAGTCTTCCTACACTCGAGAAGAGACCCTACCAAGAGCCCCAGAAATCAGGCAGCTCTTCCCAAAGCTAAATACACTTAACGAGGCAGCCGGGGCCTCCTCAAGCTCGGGACTTGGGAATCATCTTCATTCACCGTCAGCTTTACCCATCCAGCCATTGGCGGGCACCCTCTCCGCGCTTTATGGAAGATCAAACCTACCTAAGTTCACACAGGCGCTGCTGCCCACTCCTTGCCTGCGGTCGGCCAGAACTCGGAACCGGCTTCTTCTTCCGCCGGAAGTCACTGCCCCGACGTGTAAGCGTTTCTAGTCGAGCAGTTGTGGCAGTGGCACCACTCAAGCGACGCTCCACCCGCCGTGACGCGGTCGCTATGGTAACTAGTCACCGCTTCTATGGAGTGGCGTTTACTAGCAGTAAGTTCGCGTTGAAGAAAGGTGCCTCTGGCTTCGTTCTAAGTCTCTCTTGTCCTGGCTCCGCGACTGTCGCTTCTCTCCTTCTCCTCAGCGAGCACCCCCCCTCACCATCCCAGGCTTTCCCTCCGTTCTTCAAAGCGTCCTCCGTTTACCCTACCCTGAGCTACTCTCAATTGTTTCGGTTGGCGCTTGAACTCTGAGAGGTATGCGGGGGCAAAAATGTGAGAAGGGTGAAGAGATCTCATGACACCCTCGTCCCTACGGTTCCTTTATAATGTTCTCATTCGAAAATTAAGAGAATTAAAACCTATGCTGGGTAAGGCTAGATTTGCGGAGGATGAGGTCGGTTTAATTTTTTTTCTCCAAAAGATAGTCGATATAATTATTAATATTTCTTTTAGACCTTAGCAACCAACTTACAACATAAAAAACGTTCCAAAATTCTTTCACGTTTGCTTTCGCTTCGCTTTCACTTTAACCCAGTGAGAAAAGTAAGGCAGGTGCTATTATTCCCACTTTATAGATGAGGAAAGGAATTAAGGCTCAAGGCCAAACAGCTAGCAGCAGAACAAGGACTCAGCAAGTCTACCTATTCCCAGGGCAGCTATGCTATCTTTCAACTTTACAGAAAAAAGCAGAATGAACTGCTCTTCTTTGAAGCCGTTGGGGGCCACTACAAATAGGCACTGTTGGGGTTTGTTGTTGTTGCTGCTGCTGCTGCTGGTGTTCTTCCCTTCCCTCTTCTCGACTTTCTTGATTCCTGTGTTTCCTTTTATTACTTCTTCTTTGTGCTGTTTACATTACCACCACTTCCTTGCATTGTACCTGGCGATGAAAACTGCATCTGATTTTTGGCCAGCATGACATAAATTTCACTTGGAGATGTTAAAGTGGTTTTGTTGTTAACTGCTTAGATTTTGCTTTCCTTCTTTTTTATCGTTCTCCTACCAACCTGAATTAGAGAAGCAGTTAAGATAAAGTTAAGCAGAATAAATAAAATAATTTAATATGATCAATTATTTAATGATGTTATGAACTATAAAGAATAACTGAATGAAACAAGCAAGTTTAAAAATCTAAAGATGAAAGTATAGATTAGGTTCTCCACAGAATTTTGTCATGTTTAAACACATACAAAGAGCATCTGGTTTTAGTCCTGGCTCCATCATACTTTCTTGCGTTGCTTTATGGAAATACCTGAAACAATGGAATTAAGTGGTATCGTGAATGCTTTCCTAAACAGTACTGTCAGAATGATGCCCCCTTGAAAATCTCTAGCCCTCAAACTCCCCTCTATCCACTGCTTGCTTAGGTCTTCCCTGTATAGGTAGATATGCTCTGGTTTTTTTTTTTTTTTTTTTTTTTTCAGCAAAAGCACTTTATTTTGATTTACTATTCAGTTAGTTTATTGTGTTACCTCATTTATTTATTGGGGTTTGAAAATAAGAAATAGATTTTTTTTTCCCAGCATTCCCAAATATTTTGTCATTTCATCTTTACATACTTTTGTTTGCATCCCTAAAATGTACCAGATTTTTCTTTTATCTCCATAATGTCATTATTTGACTGTCATGCAATATCTAGACCTTATTTACATTTCCACAGTTAATTCAAAATGTATTTTTCTGGTTGGTTTGCTTGACTCAGAATCCAGACAAAATTTACACTTTCCATTTAGCTGTTCCCTTAAATGTCTTTTAAACTATAACAGTCCCACTTCTTCACTACAGCCTTGTTTTTTTTCTTTTCTTGCCATTGGCTTATTGAATGAGACCAATTGTCTTATACTCCGTCTATCTATCTGTTTGTACCAAAATAAAACAATTTTTACATAAATTTCTGATCATTAATCTTCCTTCATTTTTCATTTTCTAGAGTAGTAATTTCCAATAGAAAAATAATGTAAGCCACAAAAGCAACCTACCTATGTGATTTTAAGTTTTTAGTAGTCACATGAGACACATAAGAAACAGGTAAAATTAATTTTAACAATATATTTTATTTAATCCAGTATATCCAGAATATTACTTTAAAATTCATCAATATAAAAATTATTAAGGAGATACTTTACATTCTTTTCACCTACTAAGTCTTCAAAAGCTGGTGTATACTGTGCTGGAAGACACCTCAGTTTGAACTAGCCACTTTTCAAATGCTCAGTAGCCACATATGACTAGTGGCTACTGTATTAAGCAGGGCAGGTCTAGAGAATAAAGTCCTAACTCCTTAACCGGGCATTCAGGTTTCCTCTTCAATATGATCTTTGTTTTCCCAGCCTCGCCTATTATCTCCATACATGAAACATTCAAACAATTGGATCTTTTAATGGTACTGAAACCAACCCAATAGTCCCATAAATAGGTTTTTTGTTTTGTTTTAAATAAACATAGAAATGGATACTTCCTGTCTGAAAGCTTGAAACTTGCATTTGTTTTATCTTTTTGTTTGTTTGTTTGTTTGAGACAGGGTCTCGCCCTGGTATCCAGTCTGGAGTGCAGTGGCACAATCTCAGCCCATTGCAGCCTCTACCTCCCAGGCTCAAGCCATCTGCTAAGTCAGCTTCCCAAGTAGTTGGGACTACAGGTGTGTGCCACCATGCCTGGCTAATGTTTGTATTTTTTTTTTTTTTGTAGAGATGGAGTTTCACCATGTTGGCCAGGCTGGTCTGGAACTCCTGAGCTCAAGTAATCTACCTGCCTCAGCCTCCCAAAGTGCTGAGATTACAGGCATGCACCAATGCACCCAGCCACATTTGGTTTATTTTTATCTGAGTTCTTTCCTCAAGAAAGGATGCCCAGACCTCTCAAAAAGTATCAAAGAACTGAAACCAGATTACTGCATCTAGACAATGAGATGCCAGACTCTTCATTCCTCATTATTGCTTTTTTACCCCTCCCTAGTTCATGTTTTCTCATACATAGTTAACATTTCTTCCGTGCTATATAAACCCCTAATTTTAATCAGTGAGGGAGATGAATTTGACACTGATGTCCCATTTCCTAGGCTGCAGCATCTGATTAAAGCCTTCTTTGGCAATAATCATTGTCTCAGTGATTGGCTTTCTGGGTGCCAAGCAGCAAGACCTGGATGGAACTCCTGGTGTTTTGGTAACAGTGTTTCATCAATCATTTTGTTCAAATGGTTCTCCTTACTTATAACATCCTAATTCTTTTCTTCCTCCTATCAGACTAATTCCTCCTTTAAGGCCTATCTCTTCCATCAAGCCTTTTATGATGGCCTGGTCCTTAGAAATTACTACCACTTCTCAACTTTCATAGCAAGTCCTTTGTATATCACAGTATATTGTTTTCCTTAGACTGTATTCAGATTCCCCAGTTGGGTTGCAGACTTTCTGAGAGCAAGAACACCTCTCTTCAGAGACACTAAGAACCAGTTATCTTGACTCTTTCTCTGAAGTTCTAATGATACATAGCTTTAATAGGTTTGTTTCTCAGTATCTTATTTTCAGAAGGCAATTTATGCATTTTATGTAAAACTAATTATAGCAGAAACATAAACTGTTAGTATCATGGTTAAGGGCATGAACTCTAGGGTCAGAATATATATGTTTAGTACAGGCTTTTCCTCTTACTGGCTATATGAATTTAATTCATCTTTGTGCTTTGGTTTCTTCCTCTAATATGGGAGTAAATAGTATTTTCCTTATATATTTGTTGTGAGAATTAAATGAGATAGTTGTGCCTGAAGGTAGTAAGTACTCAGTAAAGGTTAGCTATTGTTGTTATTAATTAATATTTGTTGATCTGTTTTGATATATTAGAATATTAGACATTCATAACAATATTTTAGGAATTTCCAAAGAGAGGAAATGAAAGCGAGACACAATTAAATTGGAAAAATAAAATCAAACTGAAATATTTGTTGAAATACACATTTGGTTGGACTTCAGGATAAATTAAAAGTATAGATAAAACTTTAATTTGTGTCATCAGCATCTGACATAACCAAGGTAGGCATACATTAAATATTTGATTCCAAGATGATTGATCAAGTACTATAGATGTAGATAGATGTATCAAGAATTTAAGATCTTTTGTCATGGTGATAGCAAAAAATGACATCTGTTATTAAATCTATCACTTTAGTACGTGCCTGCCCATAAGCTAATGTCCATCAGACATTCACAGATTCTTAATTTTATGTCATATTAGTCAATTGTGCTTCTCATTGCTGGATAATACTTGAAATATATGTATTTATTTATATATATATTTATATATATTTAGTTTAATTTATATATATATATGTATTTTAGTATAATTCTGCTAATTATTTCCTCTCCTAGGATTATATTTACTTGGCTCTTTTGGTAGTTCCATCGCCAATTCCTTCATTTCCTTTATTTTTATTTCTGAATTTTAGGATTTTGATACCAGTGAACTAAGCTGTATTTAAGTACCGTGGGACATTATGGTTATGTTCTGAAATTGAATGATTCCCTCTAGAGCAACTTAGAATCTACTGGGAAATAGAAAAACCACCAAGAATTAGCTAGATTATATATATACAGCCTTCATTCATCTATTCACACAATCAACAAATATTTGCTGAGTGTATCTTATGTACTCCACACTCGGTTAGTTACAAGAGATACAAAACAAAGTTGACTGTAGTCGTCTCAAAAGCTTAGTTTATCTGGGTAAACAGACATTTAAACAGGAACTGAAATAACTATAGGAAGTGCTATGCCAGAGGAAATACCAGGTGCTGTGGCATTAATTAATAACTTGCAGATACACCAATATGTAGAACAGATTACTTGAATGATTGAAATCCTTGAATCAAGATGAAGCTAATCCAGGAAGATGTATAAAGTGTTAAGTTTTAAATAGTGTTTTGAAGGAATGGAGAGG